TTCCTAGGGGCTGGAGAAATGGCTCAGTGGTTAAGAACCCTTACTACTCTTGCAGAGGACCCAGGTTCAAATCCCAGCACCCATATGGAGTCTTACAACCACCTGTAATTCCAACTCCACGGGATCCAAACCCTCTTCTGAAGGCTTCTGTGTGCGCATGATGTGCATAAGCTCACCCAGACATGCATACACATAAATAATAAATAAATTAAATAAATGCATGCTTTTAGAAAAAGAAACTTCTTCTATAATTTGGGTATAACTCTTATCAGATAACTGATATGCAAATATATTTTCCTGTTCAGTAAGCTATATTCACTTTCTTTTTTTAATAATTGAATTTTTATTGAATTTTTGTGATTTTCATACAGTATAGTTGGATAGTACTTAAATCCCTCTCCTCTCCCCGCCTGCCCCTGCCCAATTTAATGTACTCTCTTGTACATAATATGGCCTATAGAGTCCAATTTGTGTCTCCAAATGTCCTTTAGTGTGGGTCCATCCACTGGGCCCATCAAGAGTCCTATCCCTGTAAGACACTATCCCTCCCCCTCCTAGCAGCCATCAGTTGTCAAAAGTTCGTCAGGTTGGCTTGGACTTTTTTACTCATGTCCATGCCAGGATTTTTTCTCTTGTTTGAGCTTGTATAGGACTTGTGCATGCCGTCACCACTTCTGTAGGTTCATTTGAGTATGTAACGAGCTGTCTGGAAGACCCTGTATTTATTTTCTTGATGGTGACTTCTTTGGCACAAAAGTTTTTAAATTTTCTGTCAAAGTTACTTCTTTTGAGTTTGTTGTTTGTGGTGTTATATTTAAGAAACTACAACCTCATCCAAGGTTATAAAGACTTATATCTATGTTTTCTCTAACGACATTTTAGCCATTATACTTAAATATTTAATCCATTTGATGCTATATTTTTGATATAGTGTGAGATATAGGCCATTTTTATTATTTTTATACATGACCATGGAACATGGTATGACTGTCCCTACACATTTGTTGAAAGGCTAGTTCTTGATTTCTCCTCTCTTTCTCCCCCCATATTTATGTTTGCATATGTGTGCATCTATGCAGTTTGTAAATTAGGCACAGTAGTAAATAATATTAATTAGTAATAAAATGGAAAAATTGTCACAATATGCTGTGATGAGCTGCTGGTGCCACCACTCTTGAGCTTTGTGGCCATTACTATGTAAAGCAAGGGTTAACTGAGCAGTGTGGCCACAGTCACCCTGACAACTGAGGGAATACTGAGTGACTAGTAGGCAGGTACACTATAGCTCATGGATACTGTACATACAGGGATGATTTATGTCCTAGGCAGGATGGAGTGAGGTGGCATAAGTGTTTATCATACTGCTCAGAGTGGTATGTATTTAACAACTTATGAATTATTTCTGGAATTTTCCACTTGATATTTTTAGACCATGGCTGATTGGGGCTAACTGAAATTATAGAGAGTAAGACCATGTATAAAGGGGACTGCTATACTTTTGTTTCTGCTTTTGTCTAAACAGGGCAGTGGGGATATCATTTGATGTCCAGCTATTTCTCAGAATATGTTGTGTCAAAAACAGGACCTGCCATTAGTCTTTACGCAAGAGGGGTGTTTTGTTTTTTTGAGACAGTCTTGCAGTGCAGCCCAAGATGGCAGGATACCATGCACACTTGATCCTCCTGCCTCTACCCTGTGAATGCTGAGATTACAGGTATACTATCACATCCAGCTTTAATCATTTATTCTTCTAGGCTTTTCAGTTGCTTTTAATTCTGTCCTCAGACTTTTCTGACACTGGCTTGCTTTTGTCTTCGATCCCTCATTTTTCTTTCTGTCCTTTTTTTGTCCTCTTTGTGCATGAGTATTCCTCCAGTCCCTGTGGTCCTGGAAAGAGTTCATTCTGTTTTCATTAGTTTTGCCATTCTCTCAAGCCAAACTGCAGTCTAACATTCTGCTGTATTCCACCAATACCTGGGATCTAATAAGTGCTCAGTTTTTCCAACCACGTGCCTTCCTAGTCTCTTCACTATCTTCCCTCAGCCAGTTCTTCATCTTGGAGTGTTTTGATTCTCTCCCTGCTCTATGCTCTGTTTGATGTTAAATACTTCTGTTAATTACATGGTGATGGCCTTGGACCTGTCCTTTCTTCTTTATGCCCTTAGCTCTCACCTCAGGCACTTGCATCTCGTGCTTATTTGTTGTAATAGTCTTTTGCTATTTTTTAAGACCCTACTTTCTCTCTTTATTAGGCCCTGTACTCAACTGCTAGAGGACTCTTCCCTCAAGCATCTCTCCCTTTAAGGCAGCTTCTTGACAAGATCTGGGGTATCAAGTTTATCTACCACACCTTAGCATATGAAGTCCTCCCCATCTCTACTACCCTTTCCTTAACTCTTGTTACTTTCCTAAATGGAGCCAAACTGGTAGTGTTTCCTGTTCTCAGCCTCTCATTTTCTTCCACAGTTGACCCCATTTGATGGCTCTGACTCTCTTCTTTTTCTAATGTTGGCATACTTTCAATGTGTAAAGGTGGAATTTGTGTAGTAATGAAGACCTCGGTGATACCTTTGCTTGTTGTCTATCTTTGTTGTGGACATACTGCTTTGTATAAATATTGTTCTGTCGGGAACTTTATTTCTAACTTTATTTATGGCTCTTTTCTACCTATGGCAGAATCTTGACAAAATACATGTCTAATCTTCGCGGCTGAGAGATCTTAACAGCATCATCATTCTTCAGGTTAAAAAATGTAAAATAATATCTTTATGTAATTATCTTGATTTTTAAGTTTTAGGTCAGGTTTTATATGACAGCATATTGCTACATATGTTAAATCTCGTTATTGAACATTGGCAACCTCATATATCAGATAATCTCAAGAGATACATATGAGCACATACATGTGTGCACACATGCACACACACGTACAAAGAGGCTAAAAATAAAAGGAAACAAACAACAGCAAAGAAAGAGCCTTGCCCTTACTGAGATGATGTGCTATGAACTGAAGACTGGTCTTAAGTCAGCTCTGTTCTTGAGGTAAGAATGAAGAGAAGCCAGGATCCTCCTGCCTCACCCTCCAAGTGCTGGGTTTACAGGTATGTGCCACCATGCCTGACTGTAGACACTTTTGCAGTAACTTCTAAAAGTACCTCAAGTGTTCTATGTGCATCTCCTCCATTTCAGCTTTTTTTTCTAGGTATGGAATTCAGAGTTACTTGAAGCTCCTTGCCACTTCACAGTGAGCATTCTTGCACACGTCTGTAGTCTATAATTCACCTATGAGCCTTATTTGAGAACTTCGCCAGGATTTAGCCTCCAGAGAGGGATCTTCAGCCTGTGAGCAGAAATGCAGACAGCCCACATAGCAGATAGCTGTGTGTTTGTACTTGGACCGCAGTCATGAGAATTCTTGCCTCCCATGTCTTCACCAAGAAGTTGTGCTGTTATTCACTATTCTAACGCATGACCTTCTGGTGGGCAGGCATAAAGTGCTTTCTCACTACTTTGGTTATGCATTTTGGTCATTGTGACACTTTGAGTTTAATCATCTGTATAATGGTAGTTGTTTAGGTTTCCCTTTCTGTGAGTTCTTATGTCTTCTGTCCATTTTCTATAGGTTTCCTGTGATGTCATTAAATGGCAGACTTTCCCTGTACATTATAGATATTAATCCCTTATCAGTTCAATGTTAAAATGTTGCAGTTTTTCCCTTAATCTCAATCTTCCTAATCCTGTACATGGTCTTCTATATCAAACAGAATGAAGTCAGACCCAACAAACTTTGTATTTTTAGCCTTATTTTTAGTCTGTCTCCTGTCTGGTGTCTTGTGCTCTGGGTGCTGTCCATACTGCTTCTTCATACATACTTGTTCGTGTGGCCTTTTGAAGACAGGAAGATATTTTTCCTCTTTTCTTTATGTTTTTCAGGCTTGTGAACTTTGAGTTGTTCTTGATGGAGTCTTAAAAAAACACACACACACACATGCAAGAAAATGGATGACTCCCCCCTTCTGTAAGCTCTTCTACTCACAAAGTTGGGCCCCTTTGACCTTGTTTGTATATGAATCCCGTCTGCTCAGCTAGGGATGATTAGAGAGGGACACTTACCTCTTCCAAGGAATTTGGAATTAGGACCAGTCTTGGCTGGTTTCTTGAAGGACTTGTAAGTTGAGAGGTTTGGGGATGACTCTCTTCAACTATGCTTACAAAGAAATTACAGAAATTATCTGAAGAAAAAGAGATTGAAGAACTATGCAGAGAAACAAAAGGAAAAACCTGTGGTCCTGTGGTCCTGTAGAGACGAGAGAGTTTGAACTGGAATGTGAAAGTAGCCAGCCTGGATCCTGATGGCTTTCCAGTTTCTGGTTCTGTTCTCTCCTGAGGCCACATTACATTTCCTTATCTGTATTAGATAGGGATGGCTAACCACTGAAACAGACTCCCAAGTATGTAATGACCCTAACACAATAGAAGTTTATTTTCACTTCCACAAACAGGTCCAGATGGCTCCAAGTTAGCAGGGTGGCAGCAGTGGAAGGCCACATAGTTATTTAGGAACTCTGGTTAATGGAGGCTCTGCCATTTGCAACATATGGCTTCCAAGATCTCCCTGAACATTAGTATCCATCTTGCAGAAGGAAAGTGATCATGCAGTTTTATCTATGGGAAGTTTTATAGGCCACGTCTTGAAGAACTAGTGTAGTCATTCACAGTCCTTTGGTTGGAACTCAGTCACATGCCATATTTAACTCTGCAGGAGGCTGAAAAAAATGAGGTTTACCTATGGATCCAGAAGGAAGAGGAAATGGGTCTAGTGAGCAAGCTAGAGATTACCACAACGTGCTTCCTATGCTTTGGTAACCCTATCTTTCTAATCAAGTGCCTGTTTTTTCTTAAACATGTTCACATTGCTTCTGTTATTTGTACCTCAATGCATGAGATGTAATAAGCATATTTAAAATAGAAGAGATAAAGGTATTAATTTATTTTCTCAGGAAAATCGGGCCGATTCCCACCTGTAATGCATCATCACTCGGCACCCTCAGATGGCCAGACCCCTGGGGCTCGTTTCCAGAGGTCTCACCTTGCAGAGGCATTTGCAAAAGCTAAAGGATCTGGTGGAGGCACTGGAGGAGGAGGTAGTGGAAGAGGGCTGATGGGCCAGGTTATTCCAGTCTATGGCTTTGGGATTCTTTTGTATATACTGTACATTCTATTTAAGGTAAGCGAAATCATCTTAATCATATTATGTCAGTGAAAACCTAATGCCACTGTAATAAAACACCCTTTAGAGTCCATACAGCTCTTTCAAGTCCATCATGTGTTTAAACTTTGTCTTCTCTTTGTGAGGTGGTTAGAATAACTATTATGTCAGTTTTACAGATGGGAAATCTTAGCATAGAATTTGAGTTGCCACAGAATTTACAATTAAAATGTAGAACTAAAGTTTGAACTAGTATCTTCTAGTTCATAATCCAATGAACAATATAATTCAAAGGAAAAGAAGGACTAAGCATTTTGTAAGCTAAGAAGCATAAAGGTGCTCTGAGAAGAGGCTTGTTCTTAGGACTGGCACTATGATTTCCAAGTGGCCATGTGAGGCCACAAAGTGATGGCTCCAGTGTCACTTTGTTCTTCTTTTCCTCTCAGGGACACAGGTGCTGCTTTTAGTGTCACCTCTAGTTCTGGAGATAGAACTAACCTCTCATGAAAAGAAGCCTTCCATTTCCTAGTTCTGGGAGTCAGGGTGGGTCTTGAGACATAAGGCAAACCGCCATTTAAGTTCCTTCTCCAGGCAGGTGTGTTGTCCACACACTTGTGCTCTGTGGAGAGGCAGCAGAAGCTTCTCTTAACTCCTGACTGCATAAGCTGGGGTGACTGCAGTTCCTTCACAGCCAGGAGGCAGCCCAAGTTGTCTATGAGATTGCTCCTGGGGTGCTGTGCACATGACCTTTCCTTTGAAGAGCAGATGACTGTTGGGAGATTTTGTTTTCCTCATGCCTTGATCTTTTATTCGTCTTTTTGAGACAGGGTCTCCCCATAGCCCCAGCTGGCCTGGCACTTGCCATGTAGACCAGGCTAGCCTTGAGCTCACTGAGATCCGTCTGCCTCTGTCTCCTGAGTGCTGGGATTAAAGGTGTGCACTACCATGCCTGGCTGTGCCTTGATCATTTTTACCTTCTTGAATCTTTTGGTGACTTTTTCCTTTTTTAAGATAGTACTCTAATGTTGATACTTGGTTTGACTTCTGACTTAATTTTCGTCTCCCACCTTTTTTTGTTTGTTCATGTTTTCATTTCATATGAGGGGGTTCCATGACTGAGGTTCTGAGCTGCTGTTGATGTGCTGTACCTCCTTCAATCCTCAGCTTTCAAAGGGGAAAACCTCAGAAGATCGGAATTCCACTGCCCCACCAGGAAACACCCACAGGAAGATTAGTAAGTGCCCCTTCCCCATGTGTTCACAGTGTTACTGAGTCAGAAGCTGGAATACATACGGCCAGAGAGACAGTCTGTGGGTAGGTCTTAAAAGCATTTCTCAAAATTTGCTCCAAATTCATCTGATGCCATTTTTACCTTAGCTCTAGGAGTTCTCAAAATTTCCTGTATTGATACTGGGCTTTTAAGAAAAGTACAAAGCTGCCTGTTCACATTGCTACATGCTGGCCAATTAGTGTTAAGATTTGGTTTAGTTACTTTTCACTACCAGACTTCAGAATATTTATAGCAAATATCGTTATTTCACAGAGATGAAAACTGAGGCAGAGAAACTGCATTATCACCAAACTCAGTTATTAGTCTAGGGGGAGTTTAACACTTGGGAGTCTTGAAACATGATTATCAGATATTTATTGCTAGAATATTCTGTGTTCTCTAGGGAAATGAAATGAAATGTATATAGCACAGCCCATTTCTCTAAGAATTTATAGACTAAAATGGGTATCAGGAAACTTACTAGGGCGATGGGCAGATAGCTTGTGGGTAAAGCACTTGCTAAGCAAGCATGAGAACCTGAGTTCAGATCAGCTTTCATGTAAAAAACCTGGACATGGCTGGGCATGGTGGCACACACCTTTAATCCTAGCATCTGGGAAGCAGAGGCAGGTGGATCTCTGTGAGTTTGAGGCTAGCCTGGTCTCCATAGTGAGTTCCAGGCCAGCTGAGGCTGTAGGGAGACCCTGTCTCAAAAAGACTGAAAAAGAAAAAGAAAAAAAAAGAAAAAAACTGGACATGGCTGTGTAGCTCCAGCATTGGGGAACAGGTACATGCAGATCCTCGAAGCCCACTTCTGGTTCAAAGAGAGACCCTGTCTCAAGAGAATAAGATGGCGTAATAGAGGAAGACACCCCATGTCCTCTTTTCGCCTCCACGTGTGCATACCTGTAACACACACATACCACACACATACAAATGCACGTACACCCAAAAAAACTTGTAAAAAGATTGCTGCTACTTAGAAAGAAGTGACTTATCAAAAGCATTGTGGGAATCGCTTCTGAGTAGCTTGAGTACAGGGTAGACAACATGAAACCTTGAGCTTGCAGACGTCTGGAGGAGGCTGGTGGAGAGCGCTGTGGAAAGGGGTCTTAGAGTTGGTTAAGAGCAGATTACTACTTTATCTGTGGATATGAAGCTTTATCAGAAGGTTTTAAAAGAAAGGCATCAGTAGAATGAGGTGAGGCTGAGCATCTGTCCTAGACTATACCTGCCTTTTGGATTGACTTCTGGGTTTCCTATTGGACCAAATACCCCATCACGTTCTGCATCCTTTTTGGAATCCTGAATAGTCAAGGAATCTCTGAAGAAAGCTGCTGTGTCTCTCTATGAGATAGTGATGGTAAATATATTGATAATTTTTAAAAATTGTGAACTCTTTAAAGAGAAGTAAGTCCTGGACCAGTGAGATGACTTGGTAGGTAAAAACACTTGGTGACCTGAGTTTGATCCCTGATTACGTGAGTTTGAACTCATGTAAAAACGTTAGATGTGGTGGCAAGACTCTGTGATCCTGGCACTCGTACAGTGAAGAGAGAGGTAACATAGGAGAGCTGCTTGGATGCTTTCAAGGCAGCTAACCCAGAGTGCAGTGCAACAGAAACCACAAGACAGATCCTGTCTCAAAAGAGTGGAAAGCAAGAACTGAGTCCCAAAAGTTGTCTTCTGACTTCCACGTGTGTGGCATGGCACACATGCGTGCATATTCACAGACACAAATAGTTACACACTCTAATAATAAAATAAAAAATAAGAGTAGTAAGCACTGTCTCTTGTATAATGCATTTGAGACAGAAAGAAGTAAATCAAATAATCAAATGAATTCCTAAGACTACTTTTTTAAAAATATTATTTTTATTTTTATGTGTATGAGTGCATTGCCTGCATGTATATAAGTGTACCCATGTCATGCAATGCCCGTGGAGGTCAGAAGAAGGCCTCAGATCCCCTGAAACTGTAGTTATGGACAGTTGTTAGTCACTATGTGGGTGCTGGGAATCGAACCTGGGTCCTCTGCAAGAGCAGCCAGTGCTCTTAACCACTGAACCATCTTTCCAGACCCAAGACTACCATTTAAAATAATGGTAATAGCAGTGAGAATCATCCTTTATGAATCATGCAAAAAATAAAACTAATCTAGGCACTATATAGTGTAGTTCTCTATGCACTTTACAGATATTAACTGTTTATATACAGTTTGTTCTAACAGCATTAAAGGCCTTTGAGATATTATATTTTGTAACAATATATTTGGGTGGGAGAGTACTCAAGAATGAAATAGAAATCTAGATCTTTTATATAATGAGCAGCATTTTATTTTCCTATTGCCTAAAGTTCATATTATGTTTTGATTGAGTGATTTATTTTTTTCTGTTCCATGATTAGTGTCTTAATCTTAGTTTCTGTAGATACTTTCTACCGACTCTGATTTAGAAAATTTCATCTAGGGGCTGGAGAGATGGCTTAGCAGTTAAGAGCACAGGTTGTTCTTAAGACCCAGATTCGAATCTGAGCACCCACATGGCGGCTAACAACTGTCCATAACTCCAGTTCCAGGGGATCTAATGCCTTCTTCTGTCCTTTGAGGACAGTGCACGACACGGGTATGCTTACATATATGCAGGTGTAACACTTGTACACGTAAAAAAAAAGTAAATAAAAAAAATTTAAAGAGAAAATTGCATCTAGGAGAGAGAAAATGTTACATTCTACCTAGCATGGTTTATTTTTTTTCTTAAACAACTAGATTAGAAAACATTGGGCTTGGAGGTATTAAGCATAGTTCAAGACTCCCTCTACTGAAGAAATGTAATATCGAAACTATTCATTCCTAGATAATGTTTCCTTGGGTGCAGGTAAACAGAGCTCATTTCAGAGTCTTAACTCCTTAGTTGCATAGGTTTGGTACCTCACCCAAAAGCATTGTTTGGATCATAAACCATTTATTTATCATCTACATTTATTCCTGGGTGACTTGATAAGGGTATGCGTTTCACTGTTGGATATTTTCTCCATTTTGTCTTGATGTATTTCTATATGGAATAGGGAATTATTTATTACTTCCTAAACAAGAGTGTATCCTGTTGATCTTGGTGTCTAGACTGCCACACCCTTTGGATTAGCTGGAGAGACTCAGGTCTGTTCTCTTAAATCTCAGATCCCCCTGGATTAGGTTGTCATAGCCAGCCATGTTTCTTGGAAGGGCTTAGGGAGCTGTGTATGATGATTCTTAGATTGATGCTTGTTTTTTTTAGCCAATTTGGAGCTTGTTCAACTGCAAGAAAAACTGAAAGAGACAGAGGAAGCCATGGAAAGACTAATCAACAGAGTAGGACCAAATGGTGAGAGGTAAGTTTTCATCTAATCTGACTCAGACAATGTCCCATTTAGAGAACCCATACTTTTTCCTTTCTTTGATATATAGACCACATATTTTCCTTTTATTTAGTATCAACTTAGTTGTAATATATATATTCATTCTTAGTTACCATTTCAATTTTCATGCTATTGAACAACCTGTTTCCAAGACTTTAGTGTGGCACAAATTTTTGCTAGAGTGAGTCAACTTGTAAATCCTGCAAGATCACATAACCTAATTTTAAGAAAGCCATTTTCCTAGCTGTCTAATGTATAATTTTTAAGTAAAACATGATTATTGAATATTGTACTTTGTATTTGAGACCAAATAAGAGAAAGAGGAAGTGTAATTATATTAGGCATTTGTGTTTGGTGTTGACTCACTGCCAGCACTGAATTAGGCATTAAAAAGGTGTCAGGGGCCAAACTAGTTCTTTCAGATATCCCACAGGGAAGGCATACTTCTTTTGCTACCACACCAGCCAGGGATCTGAAAAGATAGGTGCAGAGGTTCATGGAAGTGGGAAGAGCTCAGAAAACACGTGTGAAGGAAGGCTTGGTAGGAAAACCAATATATGATATTAAGTACCAAGAGAGAGTCTAACAGGAATAGAGGAAGACCTTCAGAGTGTGAGGCAAAATCTCATGCAGGATGTGCTGAACGGTCTTTACTGCAGCTTCATGGGCAACTGTGGCATTTTTTGGTCTAAGAAACAGGCCTTGGTATCTTCTGTTTTCTATCTTCCATGGTCCTTGTGCTCCATGCCTCTTTCTTTGCTCACTGACATCTAGTTTTCCCGTTCTTGGCTGCTCATAAGCAGAGTAGATATCCTCTGTTGCAGCTCCCTGGCCTGACATTTTCTTGTAGTATCTACATTGCTGTTCAAATGACATTTATGAGGATGTACATTGCCTATTTAGGCCCAGGAAACTTGTGCAGTTCAGAAAGCAGGTTTACTACTTAGAATGTTTCTAAAGTAGCATATAAACATGACTGTATCTGTGTGAGTGTGTAATAGTAGTTAATATTTAGTGATTACTTGCTAAAGACCATGTCTGAGCTGACTCCTTTATAGATATCTAATGTACAGCTGTATGTATGAATGACTAAACTAATTACACTTCAGCTATACTTCTGTGGCCTTTCCTTCCTTGGTGGAGAGCTACCATGACTTTTTTAGACTTTCGTGCCTCAGAAAAATATCTGTACCTTGGTCTGGGCCATTGGAAATCTCAGGCATGCCTAGGGGGTCATGAAATTCACATATCCCATATGGACAGATCCCCTTACTTGGGAGATGCAATCCTAGGACCTTGGGATCAGAAACTACATGAAGATAATAAGTTTTTCATTATTACACGTTTTATTCAGACTCAAATCAAATGCTGATACCTACAGCATTTGTCATGGGCCAGGCAGGAAAGCAGCACTGTAACTCCTAACTACTTTCTGTCTTTGTGCTAGGATTATTTCTCCATGCTTTCTGTGCAGAGGCAGGGAGGTTGTACCATCTTTATGTTCTTGAAGCCACAGGTCCTAGCCCAAAATGTCTTACTCTATAATATTCTGAGGTGTGGACTCCTTGAGAACATATTAATTCCAGCCTGCAGCACAACAACTGCTATGTAAAGTGTTGTCTATAATACTTCTAAGGAATTGGAGAGCAGTTCTACTCCTGAGAAAGAATTATAGCTCCTGTCTCTTAACAATTCCCTCTTTTCCAGTCCATAGGATGTGATTTTTTCCTTGATATCCGTCAGAGGATGGTGTGATAAGAATAGGAGGTAGGAATTGGCTAGGCAGTTAGAGTAAAAAGACCCCAAAGAAATGTAGCCAGTTTCTTGGCTAAAAGTCAAAATGGCCTTGGGCCTGTTAGCAACATACTTTGTTCCAAGGCACAATCTAATCCTTATCTTATAGGTAGGCCCTATGGGGCGTTTCAAATGCAAAACTCTCAGGACTAGACAACCCATTTTTCTGCGTTGCTTTCCTTATAGCTTAGATCTTTTACCTTAGTTTTTTAAAGAATTGATATTTTTAAAGTGACATAGTAAATAATGGGTTTCATTATGGCCTTTTCATTCATTCATTCATTCATTCATTCATTCATTCATTCATTCATATATATATACACACATACATACACACACACACATATAGCAGCCCTCTGTTTTCTTCCCTTCCTGTTCTCTAAGATCTCTACCTCTCCTCTCATGTTTCCATTTCTAGTTCTCTCTCTCTCTCTCTCTCTCTCTCTCTCTCAACAGATACACATACATAATTTAAAACCAGGTTCCACATATGAGAGAAAATGTGGTATTTGTCTTTGTATTTTTCACTTAACATACTGACTTCCAGTTTCATTCATTTTCCTGAAAATGCTATTATATTAGTCATGGCTCTCTAGAGGAACAGATCCAATAGAACCAATATGTATTAGAAGAGGATTTACTAGATTTGCTTACATGATACAGTTGTCCAACAGCTGTCTTCATATTGGAGAGGCTGAGAACCTGGTAGCTGCTTGGTTCATGAGGCATCTCAGCAGTCCCAGTCTGGTGCTGACGGTCTGGAGGGTTCCTAGAGAGGCACTGACATTTAGTCTATGTTGGAAGCTGGAAGAAACTGGGTTCTGATAATCTGGGAAGGAATGTTGCAGCAGTGGCGACAAGAGGGTAGATAAGCCTGTCAGCTAGAGCAAAGGTAAGTGGGCAAAAGCAAAGCTTCTTTCTTGGACCTCTTGCCACCAGAAAGTGCTGCACACATTTAGGGTGGGCCTCCTTCCCACTTCTAATAACCTGATTAAGTCGATCCCTCACAGGCTTGCCCAGTGGCTGGCCTTTTAGTTGATGCCAGTCAACTTACTCTTCATGGTTCCATTTTCCTTTACACTTGAATAAGATCCCATTGTGGACATGTAACCACATTTTCTTTATCCATTTATATGTTGATGGCTATCTAGGCTACTTCCATTTCCTAGCGATTACCAGTAGCAATAAGCATGGGTGTGTAGGGTCTCTATGGTGTCTTAAGAATCCTTTGAGTATATACCCAGGAGTGGTATAGATGGGTCATAAATTAGTTCTGTTTTTAGTTTCCTTTTTAAAAATTTATTTATTTTTACTTTAGATGAATGAGTGTGTAAGTGCACCCATGTCATGCAGTGCCTGTGGAGGCCAGAAGAGGGTGTCAGATCCCTTGCAACTGGAGTCGCAGAAGGCTTTTAGCTGCTGTGTAGGTGCTGGGAACTGCAGGAACAGCCAGTGCTCTTAACCACCGAGTCATCTCTCCAGCCTGTATTTAGATTATTGAGGACTCTATACTGATTTCCATAGTGGCTGCACCAGTTTACATCTCCACCAGCAGTATACAAGGGTTCCTCCTGCCCATATCTTTGTCTGCATTTGTTGTGATTGGTTTACTTGATGATAGCTGTTCTGACTGGGATGAGGTAGACTCTCATTGTAGTTTTAATTTGCATTTCCCTGATGCCTGAAAATGTTAAGTACTCTTTCAAGTATTTATTGGCCATGTGTTTATCTTATTTTAAGAACTGTGTATTCAGTTAATTAGCACATTTATTGAGTTGGATGATTTGATTTTTTTTTTTTCTGGTGCTTAATTTTTGTAGCTCTAATTTCCTGTAATTCATTTGCCAGTTCTTCCTATGCTATTTGGGTCCTTGAAATGAAAGTCCTTGCCTATGCTTATATCTTAAATTGTTTAACCTATGTTTTCCTCTAGCAGTTTCAGAGTTTCAGGACTTGCATTAAGGTCTTTGATCCATTCTGAATTAATTCTTGTGCAAGGTGAGAAATAGTTCATTCTTAACCTGTGTCTGTGGCATTTTTTCTTTTGTAGGTCTTTGTCTCTGCACAAGAAGAGCTGCAGATACTCCAGTAGTTTTTCTATTAGGTGTTATTTTACTTCCAGACTTCTGTGGGTCAAGGAGTGGTTTTAAGACAAGATGTGTTCATTTATAGCCTCAGTCCTTTTATGTAGTATTACTTTACTAAATATTTTAGATGGTGCTCTGTAACTACAAAATACCAGTTTGAAATTAGAGAAATATTCAACTCCTGAAACATATGTCTATGTAAGAATAAAAAAGTGGAAAAAGTTGTTAATGTGGCTAATAAAATTTTTCATATACCTTTCACCTGTGAGTGGTATAGATCCGTACATGTTTAATGAAACCTCCATGTTATTATCTGATATTAAACACAGTATCAAACTCAAGGACACAGGTTAAGGAAAGGCTCTAGGAACCAGAGTGAGGTATTCTCATTTCTGCCTTCAGAATTAGCAAAATTTCCTTCTAAGGGTATTCTGTGGGTTAGTAGTGATTTCTGTGCTAGAGCGTGGTGTGGCTGGCGCGGGGGGGCGGGGGGCACTGTGGCCATGAAGAGCCTAAAAGATGTGCTGAGTGTGTGTGAGAGAGGCTTTTGGGGAAACCTCTGTGTGGATTGCTGGAATATAAACTCCCTGAGGATAGATTGTATTGTTCAGTGTGTTCCTATAGTAATTACTAGATAAATAGTGAGTGAATGAGCATTTTCACTTTTCTGTAAACTTTCTCCATTATTTTATGCACTCTGTGTCATAGTAGAAGGGTCAGTCCTGGCCATTCCCTGTTGAGATCCTTTTCTGTAGTTCATAGCCCTGTTGGATATATCTCACAAAGTCCTACCTGAATGATGAATAAATCAGTGTCCAAAATAGAATTTACTGTCTGCCCAAGCTGAACTGCTTAATAGTCCCATTTCAGCAGATGGCTTTGCCGTCTACTAGGTGGCCCAAAGCCTTGATCCGATTTCCTTATCAATTACCATGTCTTGCCAGTTCCATTGAATTAATGCCAGTCTCCCTGCAAAGGCCATAAACTCTACAAAGGATAGGATTGTTCTTAGCTCTGGAACCCAGTACTAGCCCATAAGTAGGCCTTAAGTGGAGGAATGGAGCAAGTGGTTTGGTTTTGTTGTGTGCTTGC